ACACACACACACACACACACACACACACACACACACACACACACACAGACTCAGTAAAGGCCCATTCTCACATCCTTTTCTGAGCCACTGTTGGCTAGCTTAAGACTTAACATGTGGTGCTGTTAAGCCCAAACTGAAGAATGAGGGTTTTGGTGGTTTGGGGGGTTTTGTTTTGTTTATGTATGTGGGTGTTTTGCCTGAATGTATGTGTGTACCATGTGTGTGCCTGGAGCCCTTGGAGGCCAGAAGAGAGCATTGGATCTCCTGGAGCTGGAGTTACAGGCAGTTGTGAGCTTCCATATGGTTGCTGCAGGTGGAACCTGGGTCCTCTGGTCTGATACTTGCCATATAGACCAGTCTGGCCTTGAACTTGGACATACACCAAGCATGAAGGCTTGGTCTTATTCATTCATTTGTTTGTTTTCCCAAAACAGTTTCTCTGTGTAGCCCTGGTTGTCCTGGAACTCCCTCTGTAGACCAGGCTGGCCTTGAACTCAGAGATCCACCTGCCTCTGTCTCCAGAGTGATGGGACTAAAGAAGTGTGCCGCCACCACCACCACTTGGCCCAATTTGGTCTTAAAGAAATCTGCCAACATCATCAAAGAGGCCTGAGTGCCAACCTCCAAAGTCCTCTTTGTCCTCCATCCCCTAAAAAGTGGGCCAGGACAGTGTGAGAGAAGGATGGTAGCTGGCCCAGCCTTGGCGGCCTCATTGGATAGTCCTCGGGAAGCAGCATTGCCTTGACTTCACCGGAGTGTGGGCGCACGGCAGCAGCTGAGGCTGAGCATCCTTGCCGAGAATGCTTTCTCTGCGCTGGTGGCTTGGCATGCTGCTCTTCCATTGCAGATATGCCTGGGTTGAGCAGGGCTTAGTGGCTTCCTCTGGCACCAAGAAAGAAGAACGGAAATTTAAGTAAATGTTCTCTAGTCCATGCTTGTGCCCCGCCCTCTCCCTAGGAAAGCCCTTGGTGTCTTCCTTCTGAGCCACAGTCACATCTCCAGAGACCCTTGTCAGTCTCTGGCACCATCCTCATTGCTGGCCCCGTGTGATTCCATGGCAGGAGCTGGGTACATCAGCTGATGCCACCCTCCAACCGGCCTCTGTCCCTCAGAGCCCTTGGATGAGCAAGACTTTCTCCAAAGGAAAGCATGACATTCCAGATGCCCAGCAACGCCTTGGCACAGAGTTGAAGGGACCCTGGGAGTTTCCAGGGTCCTGTGCACACACAGACACAGCTGGGCAGAGAAAGCCTTGATCAGACAGAAGAAGTAGAGGGTACGAGGCTCTGACTGCCAGTCCCACAGTCACCTCCCTCCCAGGGCACCACACAGGGGCCCTTCCGGAGCCTAGCCAGCCAGCTAGAACTGAGCCCCTCCCTCGCTATTCTCATAGAGCTGTAATGAGCAGAGGGGTAAACGGGGGAGGGAGGACTCTCTGCTGAACCCCTCACGTCTCCCATATTTGGTCCCCTACAGATGCTCCAGTGGCTTTGACCGATACCGCCAGGAGTGGTTGGCTTACGGCTGTGCCCAGGAGGTGAGAAGTCCGAGTGGGCTGCCACAGACCTGGCTTGGGGAAAGCGGTGCTCCCAGAGGACTCTGCTCCTGACAATGCTCCCGGCGGCTTCGCCTCAGGACGGCCTCATCTTCCCCTTCATCCCAGATGCTCCGAGCCACTTTGGAGGGTTTTCCAGGGCTCTCTGAGTCCTTGACGTCAGTCCCGCTGGTGATGTGGCCTTGAACAGGCAACCGTTGGGAACTCTGTCACCTCAGAGTGCCAAGGTGACAGAGTGACAGGGTGCTGGGTCTGGCCTTAGCCACAGCTGACTCCTCTGGATCGCTGAACTCCCTGGGAGGTTAACGAAGCTCTCACCCTCCTGATTTTGAGGGAGGTGATCATTCTGGGGAGGGAGGGCAGGTTGTTCCAGGCACCCCTACTTAGAATCCCACCCACACCCCTCCTCTAGAACACTCAACACTTTGATTTTGGTCTGGAAGCATCTTCTCGCGTGGACACAGGTGATTTCATCCACGCCCCATGCTTTTCCCATTTCCTCTCAGAGAGGGCCTCCCTTTGCCATCTAAGCTAGCCTCGAACTTGCACATCTTCTGGTTCTTCCTGCAAGCCAGGCGCACTGTCATACCGAGCGAGAACATCCCTGTGAGCGGCTCTCTACTTGCTCTTGTTTAACATGACCCTAAAACCTGGGGACCAGGGCCCTCCCTGACCAAAGGGGAAACCGAGGGGCACAGAGAAGTTTCAAGAGTTGGCCTGCCATTTACCACTACAAGGTGCCAGGCTCAGAATTTAAACACGACCCCTTCTCCCTTCCCTCATGGTTTCATCTCTCTCTGGTCTTAAGGAAAAATAATTAGGGCAGCAAAATGGCTGAGAGAGTAAAGGTGCCTGCTGCCAAGCCTGAGGACCTGAGTTCTGTTTCCGGAACCCACGTGATGGAAGGCAAGGACTGACTCCCGCCGCTTGTTATCTGACTTCCATATGCTTCCTGCAGTGGTCACACATTTTAAATAGATAACATATATACACTAAATAGATAAATGGGGAAAAAAGTGTGTCCATTCAGCCATATCTGACATTGGCTGGTAGTGACTGCTAAGAGATACTGTTTACTATTATTATTGAGACAAGGTCTCCCTGTGTAGTCTTGGCTGTCCCGGAACTCACTGTTTAAGACCAGGATGCCCTCAAACTCACAGAAATCTGTTTGCCTCTACCTTCAAGTGCTAGGACTGAAGAAGGGCACCCAGCTAGTGACTGTTAAGATTTTATCTGTTTAAGATTGACCTCTCACCCCCCTTCATAAGGATTTGAAGCAGCTGACAGATAAATTACCCTGTGGTATAGCTTTCAAGACAAAGTGGGAAATTCCATCTTAGTTATTTTCTGAGACAGGGTCTCACAAAGCTGACCAGGCTGGTCTTGAACTCCTGGGCTCAATCAACCACCACCCCTTCCCTCGATGTCCCAAGTACTTGGGTCCCAAACCTTGGATGCAAGGTTTGAGGGCATTCAGGGGTCACTGTGTCTGGAAGTGGCGAGTCTCTTGGGGTCTCTTGCAGGCAGAGGGCAAGACGTGTGAGGACTTCCAGGATGAGCACCACTACCCGCCCTCCCCCGACAGCTCCTTCGGCCCTTTTGATGAAGACCGCACCACCTCCTCCTCCCTCTTCATCGACAGCCTCACCACAGAAGGTAAGGCATGAGTCCTGGGGCAGAGGGAAGGCCCAGGAAGAGCCTGGGACCATCTCACAGGACAGGAACTGCCCTAGTCTTTCACTGGCAAAGCACTGAGATTCAGAAAGCTTAGCTGCCTTACTGGCGGTGAGCAGAAGGCGATAGAGAAGGAGAGGCTCTGGCCTCTGGGAAGATTGACCATGGGACCATGTGATGGAGGTCCTCTCAGAGAGGGAGAAATGAATGTCTGAGTACCCCAGTTCATCTCGGTAGTAACCTCGAGAGCCTGTGAGGCCACTTATGCTGCAGAAGTCGTGAGAGAAAACTATCTGAATTTTATTTTTATTTTATTTTTTTTTTATGCATTGGTGTTTTGCCTGCATGTATATCTGTGTGAGGGCCTCAGATCCCCTGGAACTGGAGTTGCAGACAGTTGTGAGTTGCTGTGTGGCTGCCGGGAGTTGAACCTGGGCCCTTTGGAAGAACAGCTGGTGTTGTTAACTGAGAAGCCATCTCTCCAGCGCCCTGTCTGATTGTTTTTTTGTTGTTTGTTTTTTATTTTTTCTTTTTTCTTCTTCTGGTACTGAGATTGAACCAAGGCCTTGCACGATGCTAAGCAAACAGTCTACCACTCCACCGCATATCCAGCCCTCTTGTTTCACTTATTTTTACTGAGATGAGGTACATTAGCTACTTTTCTGTTGCTGTGATAGAACACTATTGCCAAGGCAACGTGAGTGTTTAGTTGGGCTTACAGTTTCAGAGGGCCGGAGTCCATGGTGGTGGAATGAAGCCATGGAGACAGGAGCATCTGAGAGCTCACATCCCAAACCACAAACAGGAGGCAGAGAATGCACCCTGGGAACGGCCATGAGTCTTTTGAGACCCCGAAGTCGGCCCCTGGTGCCGCATCTCCTCCAGCAACGCCACACCTCCTAATCCTTCCCAAACTGGTCCACCAGCTAGGGACAAATATTTCAACAAAAGTGCCTCTACGGGGGCAGGAGGGGGTCATTCTCATACCCCACAGAGTCTCACGCTGGTCTTACTACCCCAACCTGGGCTTGAACTGGTGAGCAATCCTTCCAAGTTCTCAGCCTTCCAAGTTCTGGAATCACAGATGTGAGCTATTATGTTTAGCTTTTTTGAGACAATGTCTGTGTAGCTCAGGCTGGCCTGGAACTTACTGTGTATCCAAGGACAACCTTGAACTCCTGATCCTCCCACCTCAACCTCTCAAGAGCTGGAATTTCTTTTTGGTGGGGGTTGAGACAGGGTCTCTCTCTACATAGCCATGGTTGTCCTGGAACTCACTGTGTAGACCAGGCTGGCCTTGAACTCACAGAGATCCGCCTGCTTCTGCCTCTCTAGTGCTAGGATTAAAGGTATGCACCACCACCACCCCGTACAAATGCTGGGATTAAAGGCATTTGCCACAATGCCCCTCTAATTTGTACTTCCGCCTCATACCTTCTTCTTGGGTTGATGCCCATCCGCTATCTGCTAAAGCCTGACTATCCAGAGGTCTCCTCTGTTACCTCAAAGCCTGGGGACCTTGGTTGAAGCTGCCAGAGATCAGGATATCTGGAGCATTATGGAGTGTCTCTGGCAGCTCTTTCAGCCTCTGTTCCCAAGGCCTTTGAGCCTTTTCTGATCCTCAAACCCTTTTAGGATTCAGCCCCTGATTTGATCCTTTTCCCTTAGGAAGGCTGAAAGATTTGTGAGTTATTTACAGTTTCCCTGGAGAGGAGGGAACGGGGAAAGAAAAAGCTAGTATCTGAAAATACAGTTCAGTCACTAGGGACTTATAAGAGGCCAAGTGGGTCGCTCAGGGCTACCCGAGTGCCTCCTGCCCTTCTAAGCACCACCTAGAGGACTAGAGAGACAGCCGACCTCAGACCTGACTGGAGGAGAATGAGCCATCGATGAGGAGACCTGACATCATGGGGAGGGCGGCCCAGGAGGATGTGCAGTCATGCATAGCACCCTATCCCCACAATCCGGGGGGTGGTGATACCGTTGTACCCCCATTTTGTAGGGAAGACACTACCCCTCAGATAGGTGAATGACCAAAGACTTGGGCATGGTGGAACGTATCTATAAGAATGCCTCACCACTTGAGGCTGAGGCTGGAGGGTCCCCAGGTCAAAGCCAGCCTGGGCCACCTAGGATAGCGAGACTTTATCTCAAGAACTAAAACACAGGGGGAAAAAAAATAACAAAAGGCCCTGACCATAGCAGCCTTAATGAGCACTGTGCAAATTAACTTCACTGGCAGTATATATAGACTAACCAATTCTTCGAAGAATGTAATGCTAATTTTTCTTTTAATTTCTGAGTATAAATTTTGCCTGCGTGTGTCTGTGTACCGAGTGCATGCCTGGTGCCTGGTTACTATGGAGATCAGAAGAAAGCACTGGCTCCCTTGGAGAACGGGGGTTGTAGATGGTTGTGAGCCACCATGTGGGTGCTGCGGATCAAATGTAGGTCCTCTGGGAAAGCGGCTAACGCCCTCTACCACGGAGCCGTCTCTCCAGCCCCAAGAACATACGTCAGAATCCGGGTGCTGCTCAGTCCGAGGGGCCTGCAGTAGCCTCCTCTCGAAGACGCAGGCAGGCACTCTGCTGAGAGAGACGCTGTGTGTCCAGCTAGCAGACGTTGAGTGCCAGGGTTTCTTACCTGGGGACGCGAGTTTACATCGAAGAGGGTGGCCGCCATCCTGCCCCTTCCCTGACTCCTTCCTGGGGCCAGAGAGCCTGATGCCATGCTTGCGCTATGAAACCATGCCCATCCTCAAAGAAGGTGTGAGGGCAGGCTGAACGCTGGCCACGTGGGCCCTGATTCCTCTCTTCAGCGCCCTCATCATGCTGTTGCCTGTCTGTGGCATTAATAACTCTTCTAATAAACTCCCAGGCCAGCATTCTTTTGAGACCATGACTGCCCATTCCAGTCCATCCCACAGAGCCACGGAAGGTGGCCACGCTGCCCAAGACATCCTCTCCTGCTCACTGGAGAGGATCTTGCCAGGACTCTGTGAAGTACAAGGTGGCTCTCTAATCAATGGAGAGAGTCTAGCACAGGTCCAGGAGGCCGGAGGTAGAGATCCCCTGTGTGATATCTGATATCCCTTTATTTATCAGGGATAGAGTTCCAGGAAGTTGTGAGCTGTCCAACACGGGTGCTGGGAATCAAACTCAGGTCATTATGCTTGTGCGGCAAGCGCCTCTACCTCTGAGCCATCTCACCGACCCACCAGATTGGCTTTTTATATTTATATTTTATAGTCACTTAGTAACTGAAGGATAATAGTTAGGATCTCAAAGCAAAATCTACAAGAGCAGCTATATTTAACAAAGTTTTGTTTCTCGTTCTACCCCTCCAGCTTTATTTCCTCTTGCCCCCAGAGAGAACAACTTTAAAAAAATATTTAAGATTTTTTTTTTAAATGTGTGTTTTCCCAGCATGTCTGTCTGGGTACCTCCATGCATGCGGTGCCCACAGAGGTCAGAAGAGGCTGTCAACTCCTCTGGAGTTGGAGTTACAGACTCTTGTGAGCTGCTATATGGGTGCTTGGACTAAACTCTGGAAGAACAGCAAACACTTTTTTTTTCCCCTTCCTCCAGACAGGGTTTCTCGGTGTAGCTCTGGCTGTTCTGGAGCACCAGGCTGGCCTCGAACTCATAGAGATCCACCTGCCTCTGCCTCCCAGAGTGCTGGGATCAAGGCATGTGTCACCACCGACAGGCTAGAACAGCAGGCACTCTTAGCCGCTGAGCCATCTCTCTATGCCCTACCCTAATTTTTTTATTATGGATTTCTCCCATTACCCACATTCTGACACTCCTAATCCTTGAGCAGCTTCTCTAGCTGTTTTCTTTCCAGCAGCTCCCACCACAGTGTGACACTTGACCGGAGGGGGCAGGGGGAAGACTGCTAGCACCTAGATGAACAAACATGGGACCCACAAAAGAGTCTCAAACAGTCCGGATGTTGGAGGCGTGGTTAAGCCTGTTTCAAGTTGAAGTGATGAGAGCAACGACCTGCGGTGCTTTCAGGCATTCAGACACTGGCTTCCTTTGCCTCCCGTGGCAAAACCCCAGGTTGACAGCAGAACAGACTGAGGAGGCTGCTGGGGTCTCCCTTGAGGGGTAGAGGGTGTTAAAATTGCTGCAGGTCAGCCGGGCACAGAGGTGCACGCCTGTAACTCCAGCACTCGGGGAGGCAGAGGCACAGGAAACCGCTAGTCATTACGGGACCTGGCATTAACAGGGCACTCCTCTATGGCATTTTGGCCACCTTCCTCTGCGGGCTTCCCTAACCTCCCAAAAGCAGATAGACCACTCCCTAGAGAGGGAAAGCCTAGGATCTCTGTGAGTTTGAGGCCAGCCTGGCCTACAAAGCAAGTTTAGGACAGCCAAGCCTACACAGAGAAACCCTGTCTCAAAAAACAAAATAAAAAAACGAAAAAAAAAAGGAAGGCCAGGCAAGATTTCCATGCGCTCCAGGCAGGCCCCTTTCATCTCTCCACCCTGACGTATACACAGCTGGCAAATTCTTTGACTCTGGCTATCTTGTCCTCTCCACTCCCCAGCTTAGCACTCACATCCTCCCTCTGGGACACTTCTGTTGATTCCCATGATCTGGGTGAGGCCTGAGAGACAACTTCATCATGTGAAGTTTATTTATTTATAGTTGGTGTGTGTGTGTGTGTGTGTGTGTGTGTGTGTGTGTGTGTGTGTGTGCGCTCATGCGCACACGTGCTCATGCTGGAGGCTAAACCCAAAGCTTCTCTCATGTCCCATGCTTGGCGTGTGTTCGGTGACTGAGCTACGTCCAGCCCGGCTTACACCCCTGCTGTTCCCTCTGGGTTACCTGAAGTGGAGGGAGGCATGTCCATCTATTATCTGTGGTCTCGCTAACCCTAACCCCCAACGCCCAGCCCATAGTAAGCACTCCTGTGTTTGTTGATTGGATGACGCAGGACAGGAAAAGCTTTCAGTCTTCTCTGTTACACTGCTATGTGGTCTGGGGGGGGGGGGGACCCCCCTCCCTAAATGGAAAGTTGAAATGAACGGCCTTCAAGTCCCATCCAGAGCCGGGGTGACAGAGGTCTGAGTGAATTCCGCTGATTTTTATCCCTTCTGTCCTCTTTGAAGATGACACCAAGTTGAACCCCTACGCAGGAGGAGATGGTGAGTGCTGAACTACCTGCCCCTCTTCAAACCACCCTGAGGAGTCAAAGCAGGTGGGGGAGGCGAGAGAGCAAAGCAGCCAGGGTACCAGGCCTCTGGCTGCATGGGAGGCCGAGGACCCCTTTGTCGATTGAGCATGTTCGTCCCTGAAGCCTTTCTCTGCCCTGCCCGTATCCCCACAGGTCTTCAAAACAACTTATCCCCGAAGACCAAGGGTCCCCCCGTGCACCTGGGCACCGTCGTGGGCATTGTCCTGGCCGTGCTCCTGGTAGCAGCCATCATCCTGGCTGGGATTTACATCAGCGGCCACCCTAACTCCAGCGCTGCGCTCTTCTTCATCTCGGTCAGTGTGGGATCTGCCTGCATCTGCTTCGGGCTAGCTCCACATCAATGTTTTCCTCGCCATTCAGGACCTGCCTCACCCCATCCGGTCCCTCACCTCCCTGACAAACTTTCCTCCGTTCTGTCACATCTTCAGTGACTGGTTGGTGCCACTGTCCAGCCTCCCCAGGACTCAGCACCTAGGCTTTCCCTCTCTAGGGAGTGGTCTATCTGCTTTTGGGAGGTTAGGGAAGCCCGCAGAGGAAGGTGGCCAAAATACCATAGAGGAGTGCCCTGTTAATGCCAGGTCCCGTAATGACTAGCGGTTTCCTGTACCCAAATTGGTCTTATTCAGAGCCAACATATTTCACTGCCTCTGTGGCCTTTTCAAGCGACAGCTGACAAGCCAAAATGTGTAAAATTCATGTTTTTCTTTTTTTTCATGCCCGTCCTAGCTCCCAAATAATGACATGGAGGCCTTTAGATTTATTAAAAGCTTCAGATACTGCATCTGGGCAGATACTGAGCTGTTCTAACCCAACTATGCTGGCCTGGCCTACTTCCCAGCCACATGACCCATTACCTGCCATCTTAGTCTTGCTCTGGCTGCTCATGTCCTCCTGGGGACTCGTGGGGTCCCCATCTGAGAGCCACTCACTGGAATCTGTAAGTCCTGCCTTATCTCTCCTGCCCAGCTATTGGCTGTTCAGTTCTTTATTAACCAATCAGAAGGATGTGATGATGGAGAACAATTTTTACACAACACTGAGATAGGAAATGATTCATAAAAATGACAGTTCCAGTGTCTGGACCGTAACCAGAGCAGATCTCTGGGTACAGAAACCAGCATTTGAACACACAGTGTACAAAAACAACCTCCAGCAAAAATTAACAGGAGTTAACGAACTCAGGGGGAACATCGACAGTGTATCATGGGAAGTGACGCTCAGACCATATCCGTGTGACCATGCAATGACAACTGGCTCCTCTCCCCACTGGTGAAAATGTTTCCAGAGGCCCATCATGGCCCCCCCCTGAGAACGTGAAGATGAACGAGACACTGGCCCTGCCCTCTAATAGGTCACCAGCCAATGATGCCCTTAGGAACTTCTCAACAGCATTTATGTAGCACACCAGAGTGAACTTCCCTGAAACCCTTGTCAGGAAGATTATTTTGCTGGGGCGGGGGAGGGTAGCACACGCTGTTAATCCCAGCACTCCATGGCAGAGGCAGGCAGATGTCGAGAGTTTGAGGCCTACCTGGTCTACAGAGTGAGTTCTAGGACAGCCAGGGATGCACAGAGAAACCCTGTCTAGAAAAACAGCAATGGCAACAAAAATCACTTGCGAAGGTTCCAGAGGGGCATCTGTCTCTGCCTGGGTCACAAACCCACTGACCTCAAGCCTAGGTGTTTTCCTCAGCTTCATAAAAAAAAGAAAGAGAGTTTTTCCAATTCTTCTGAATTCTTAGCCTTACCTGGGTATCATCTAGGACTCTGGGTCCCCGGGCCATGAGGACTTCAATGGGTGTCTTCAAGGTAGGCAGAGGAATCTGAATTTCAGTAAACCTCCCATCAACTCTGATGCGGCGCCATCTGGAGGGTCGTGCTGGCATTTGCAGAGTGGGCATCTGTGACCCGCTTCACCCTTTCCTACCGTCTCACATCTCCGGTCTGCTATTGAAACCTCTAGCTCAGTTCCGCAAACCACAGGGTGATGGGAAAAAACGTGTTCCTTCCAAACCTGCTTCTAGAAATTCCCAGCACAGCGGTACACACCTATAATCCCGACACTTAGGAAGCATAAGCAGGAGAATGGCTGCAAGTTCAAAGCCAGCCTGGTCTACATAGAGTTCTGGGCCAGCCAGGACTATACAGGGCTTCTAGTGGCTGAGGGTTTACTGTGGGGAATCTTGCAGAGAAGGTCCTCCACAGTGAGGCCCCGCTCCTGTGAGAGAAAGTCTCGCAGCAGCCCTCAGAGACGGGGTCCAACGAGGAGACGTATTCACCGACTCTGCCTCTGTTCCCTGCAGAGGAGACCTCACCACTGGCCAGCCATGAAGTTCCGAAACCACCCCAACCACTCCACCTACACAGAGGTCGAGCCCTCCGGCCACGAGAAAGAGGGCTTCATGGAGGCGGAGCAGTGCTGAGAGCAGGCCAAAGACGTGGGGACGGCATGAGAGACAAGTCACGGCCAAGAGAAGGGATGGGTTTTTCCTGGCCTCCCTCCTCTGACCTGGTCCTGGGCCAGGAAGACAACAGCTTATGGTGCCAAAACTACGGTTTGGTCCTTACACCCCAGAGAAAAGGGACACAGTAACTGAACCTCTGAGTTCCCTGTTTTGGTGGGAGGGGGCTCCGTTTTGGGGTCTCTCAGCGGCCTGCGCTGTAGCTATGGCAGAGCCCCTCCCCACAGCCTCCTGTGTCACACCTGGTCCCTGAAGCCCCTGCTTGGCCACTGCATTGTGGGGTCCATAGACTCAAGGGCTGGTCTGCCTAGCTATGGAGTCAGTGCAGTTGGCTCCAAACTCAGTGGCCCCAGACACCTGAAGAAAGTGTCCCCTCTATCTGAGAGCTCTCATCCCTTGAGACAAGCCGAAGGAGAGGTGGGGGGAAAGAACCTTGGGGAGCTTGTATTTGCTGGCCTTGGTCCTTGGCTTCATCATTCTAGCAGGGCCCGGGGCTGACACCAGAGCGCCGTAGCCTGCGGCCCAGTCTGCAGCCTGCCCTGCCCCCCAGCCTCCACCTTGCAAGCCGGTCTTGCACGGCAGCCAGTAATGAGTGGGGTGCTTCCTCCACCGTGTGTCTGGTACCCACTTCACTCGCTGGCCTGGTGTGTTGTCCATGCAAGTAGTTTCCTTCAAAGGGAGGGACGGCTTACCTGGCTCATGTTTTTCCTTGGCTGACCTGGGTGGGTTGTGGGTTTTTTTTTTTTTTTTTTTTTTGTAACCATTATAAATAATTAGGGGCTAGAGGCTTCCTGGAGACACCCCTGCCCAGCAGGGAGCTCCGGTTGGATCCCGTTGAAGCACAGCTGCCGCCATGAAGGTAGGGCAGAGGAACCTGGCATGGGAGGGAGCGACCGTGACTTGGAAAATGACCGCCATCACTGCCCCTGTGATGGGCCAGGACTCCTTCTGAACGGCAGTGAAAATCCAGAGCTCACCCTTCTCCCAAAGAAGCACCATCATCAAATAAATACATCGCAGTCTCCGCCCTGTCATGCCATGTGTGCATGGGGCACTCTGAGCTCCTGGTGGGTCAGGGGAGGGGCCGGGAAAAATCGGGCTCTGCTGATACCTGCACACATCCGGTGCAGAACATCCCAGCCACTCCGCCATTGACCCATGAAAGGACACCGAGGACGGGCAGGACTGGAGATATGCTGGTGTCTGCTCTGCTTCATAAGCCAAAGGCGAGAAGGCTGTGGGGACAGGGGCAGTGGGGATAAGGGCTGTGGGAATGAGCAGTGGGGACAGGGGCTGTGAGACAGGGACTGTGGGGACAGGAGCTGTGGGAGAGACTAGAGAAAATGACAGAAGGGTAGAGTGCTCTGCAGACTCAGAAGACAACCGAGTCTGTGGCCTTGGCATCCAGCCCCGTGGCTTTCTTTGCCAGTGACCAAGCAGCAAAGCACTTCTGTTGCTGTCATGAAACACCATGACCAAAAGTAGTTTGGAGAGGAAAGGCTTATGGTCCGCTATGAAGGGAAGTCAGGGAAGGAACCTGGAGTCAGGTCACAGAGGGACGCTGCTGACAGCCTTGCTTCCCATGGCTTGCTCAGCCTACTTTCTCATACCACCCGGAAGCACTGGTCCAGGGGTGGCACCACCCACAGAGAGCTGGGCCCTCCCACATCAATCATTAATCAAGAAAACGCCCTGCAGACCTGCTGGCACTCTGATAAAGGCATTTTCTCCATTTTCTCTTCCCAGAGTCTAGCTTGAGTCTAGTTGACAAGAAACTAACCAGGACAGTCAGCTAGTGGGGAAAGTCATGATGTGAGATTACGCCACCCAAACTCCATCATACTTCTTCCACTTGGAACCCAGGTAACCATTCTGGGTTCCTGAAACGGAGAAACAGGGAGGGAGGCAGGGAAGTCTTGCTACTATTACCCACAAAGTAGGAGACAAAGTAAGGATGTGCTGACCTGGGCTGGACCAGCCTGGCTGACCCCTGGAATGTCACTTTTGAAGGGATGAAGAGACATAAAAGCCTGCAGCTGAGAGACCTCTGAATGTTAAGGGCCTCGGATTTCTCAGACAGACACTGAAACCCAGGCTCCCAGGAAGAGCCAAGCACCCCACAGTTACCGGAGCTACAGTCCTCAATTGCCAAAAGCCTCTACCCTGACCAGAGAAGCATTTCTACTTCTGAGGAATTTGACCCCAAAGTTAGAGCAAGCCAGTGAGCTGGAGGGTGACAGCGTAAACAAATGGAGGCCTCCGCATCTGGGCTGAGTCTAGGCAAGGCGGTGCCTCCTGTACCATGAACCATGAACCAGACTTGCAGCCCATGGCACATTCGGGTGGTTTCAAGTGCCCCAGGCAAAGTGGGCGGGGCCTCTGCAAAAGTTCATCACAAGGTGGAAAGCTTCAGTTGGTGAAAGTGGATGGGGTAGTGTTTCTCCCTGTTGTCCAAAGAGCTCAGTGGGTCTTAGGGGACTGAAGAGATGGCTCAGAGGTGAAGAGCATAGGCTAGTCTTCTGGTCCTGAGTTCAATTCCCAGCACCCACATGGTGGCTCACAACCATCTATAGTGAGATCTGGTGCCCTCTGCTGGCATGCAGATGTACATGCAGGCAGAACACTATATACATAATAAATAGATAAATAAATAAATCTCTACGAGAGAGAAAGACCCAAGAGAGACCTGACTCCCTCAGACTGTCCTCTGTCTTACACACAGACCATAGGATATGTGTGCGTGCACACACAAACAATAGATATAATTTTTAAAGTGGAATAGCCAAAGAAAGTGGGAATATGAGGAGAATGCAAAAAAGCTGGGTATAAGAGGGTACCTCCGTTCAGCGACTTCTAGAATTGTAAACTTGCCTCTTGGGGTTTCTGATTCTAGAAAGTCATGGGAACCCCAGCACCCAGGAGACCCCCACTCAGTACCACAGACATGCTTTCCAAGCTTGCCTGGAAACACTCCCCAGCCATAATCCTCACCCAGCCCAGCAGACCCTGGGACTGGAGGCCGCTTGTTAGCCTGGAGCCTGAGCTTGAAAATGTTCTTTGGTCACCATGAAAGGTTTTTTAAACCTTTAAACCATGGTAACCGTTTTTTTAAACGGATACATCTTATTAGGCTCACTGTGTGATGGACTGTTCCCACCGCCACACACACCTGCATTGCTAAAAACATTGAATGAGCAGTTGGGAGGCAGTGGTAGGGGGATCAGGAGTTTGAGGTCATCCATGGCTACATGACAAAGTTGAGGCCAGCCTGGGCTACGTAACTCCCTATCTCAGTAAAACCAAACACCATCAGGCTGGATCAGGCTAGAGATAAGTGCAGCAGTTAACTTGATTTGTCGGGACAGTGGCGAAAGCTGCTAGCCAGACACACCATTCTGGGAGAAGGGTGTTCATACTTGAGCCAACCCAGGCTGGTTGTGAGGAAGACTAAGCGTCTTCCTGGTCATGGGCCCAGGCTCAGAGAGGCATGGAGTAGCACTGAGGGACTGAGGACAGACTCCCTGGCCATGAGAATACACAGCAGAACAATGTCACCAATTAAAACAGTCGGTACTTACAAGGGAGGCAGAGGCAGGTGGATCTCTGTGAGTTTGAGGCCAGCCTGGTCTGCAGAGTGAGTTTAAGGACAGCCAGGGCTACAGAGAAACCCTGTCTCGAAAAAAAACCAAACCAACAATAAAAAGAAGCCACCTTGTACAACCTTGGCTTTGTGCGCATGATGGGAAAGATATAGAGCCCACATCCTTCGGTCTGAGGTGTGCCCCTCTCTGACCTCTTCACTCAGGACAGCGGCAAGCCCAGCAGGTGTCCTTTCCCACTCTTGTGCTTGGCTCAGAGAGAACCACCCAGGAGCAAGCCCAGAGATGTTCTTTCATTGGGTTTATCATCCCTGGAAGCCAACCAACCCCATGCATTTTTAACTACTATCTAGAGACGCAAAATAAATGAGTGACTTGATACAGTCACGTTTCTGGATGCTTCACATTTGAACATCTTCAGCAGCCTTGTGTTTTTATTCCTTTGTGGGGTTACCCCCCCCCCTTACAAAACATGGGTTAGTAAACCAAACAGACAGGAAAAAATTGAGCTCCTCACAAGCCAAAACCACTGATGCCAAATTTCAGGTTCCAAACAAGCCAATTTATAAATAAACATGCTGCGATCGCCAAAGAGGGGCATGCTGGGAAAAGCAGTGGAGGCTGTTAGAGAAGGTGGGGAGCTGGAGCCTCAGCAGAGCCCCTGAGTAGCTGTGTGACAGGAGCCAAGCCACTGAGCTTCTCTGGGCCTGTTTCCACCTCTATGAAATGGAAGGAACTACAGACCTGGCCCAAGGAGAGGCCTTAGCAATCACCCTCACCTAATTGCTTTCAGTTCACAGCAATTTGGACCACAGCAACCCTTTCTCTCCTATCATCCTGAGACAGACCACATTGTTTAGTTGGTTCAAGACTCTCCTGGCTCTAATCCTGAAAGTCCAGCTTCCTGGAAGGCCCTCTGATCCTGGGCAAGAAAGATGCTTTATCTTTGGTGCTCTCCTACCCCATTGGCTGAAGAGAATGTTATCTTGAGAGCTGCAGTCAGGAGATTTGATGGTCCACATATGTCCAGACAGTGTGAGCATAGTGTGAGGCAGTGTGAGGAAACGCAAGACCCCGGCCTGCCCACTCCAGACACACTGCGTCAGAACGTCCCTGAGCAGCCTCAGGGACTCATGGGAAGCAATTCTACTTTTGGGATCACAGTCTGTTGGGGAGGCATTGTTTTCCCCATTTCCCAGATGAAGAAACTGAGGCTCATATAGAGTCTTATCTATTCATCATCTGTGCTACAGACGAAGTGACTCATCCAATGCCACCCAGCTAGTAAGAGACAAGACCCAAACCCAGGTCTTGAAAATCCCTTTGGAAATTATTCTCTGTCTACCTCTGAACAGCAGAAAAACACACAGCCACAGCTTAACAGAGAACCTCGTAGTCACAGAGTCACCTAGAAACAGATTGTAGATTCGGACAGAATTGCCCCTGTTGTGTGGGGATGCACAGCCAGAACTTCCAGCTCCTGAAGCTGTTCACACATCTTCGATTCATTTACGAAGCCCCATGGTTATCCAGATGATCTTGATGATGCTGCCTCCTTCATCTCCATCTACCTTAGCAACTGGACCACAAGAAGAAAGTGCCCTGGACAAGCAAGCCATTATGCTGCTGCTGCTGCTGCTGCTGCTGCTTTCAGATTTATTTTTTATTCTATGTATATAGGTGTTATACCTGCACGTCATGTATGCCCACACACCAGGTTCATGCCTGGTGCCTGCAGAAGCCAAAAGGGTTACAGACAGTTGTGAGCCACTCTGTAGGTGCTGGGAACAGAACCCAGGTCCTCTGCAACAGCGGTTGGTGCTCATAACCACTGAGCCATCTCTCCAGCCCTATCCTCAGCTTCTGGAAGGAGGTCTTTACTTGAACTGCTAAAGCCAAAGAGGGATTCTTTAGAGGGTGGGGATATTTCTTCTTCTGGAATTCACAGAACAGCTTTATGTCAGGTCCCGAAGGACAGCTCGACAAGTCCTGCTGTTTTCCACAAAACTAAAAGCCTTGAAAATGAGGCCCTCTGGGGGCTGGAGAGATGGCGCAGAGGTTAAGAGCACTGGCTGTTCTTCCTTAAAGGTCCTGAGTTCAATTCCCAGCAACCACACGGTGGCTCGCAGCGTGAGATCTGGTGTGTGATGAGATCTTGTGTATACATAATAAACAAATAAATTTAAAAAGAAAGAAAGAAAATGAGGCCTCTGAGTATAGGTCTGGAGACCTGAGAGGGCTCAGAGGGGTAATCAGTGGGGTAAGGCTCTTGCCACCAAGCCTGACAACCTGATTTTGGTCCCTGAGGCCCATATGGTGAAAGGAGAATGCTGATTCTCCCAAGTTCCTCCCAGACTTCCATACATATGCTGTGCACACACGGAGTAAACAAATGGCTTTTTAACGTAAACTTTATCAG